GTGCGGCGCGCGAGCGCGAACTATTCCGCCGCCAGAGCGACCGAACAATCGCGACAATACGCGATCTTAAATCACAATTTGGTTAATGCGGAATGTAACGTCGATGGTAGTTGCAAGCGTGGATCCTCCACCTGCGGCAGCCTATCTCTCTTCTCCAATTGCTCGTTCTCTCGCTCTCTCTCTCCCTCTCTCTCTGCTGAAGGATTATGAATCGCTGCCCCCCCCCTCTCGACGAGGTGGCTCTTTCGCTCTGAACTCGCTCAGAACTATAACATTCCTACGCCACTTGGCTGGCTCTCTCTCTTGCGCGCGCACGCGACCCGTATCACCCGTAGCTTTATGCGCTCCACTTGAGAATTTTGTTGAGTGCTCAATGATCGTTAAGTTTCTCGAACATTTTATCGAGTTTCCTACATATCGTATCAGCGAGTTTGTCAACGTTACCAAATCGATTCCGCTTTAATCCGCACGCGTAGTCTCGCACGGTACGTGTGATTGCTCTAAAAAAGAAAAAAATAAAAAAAAAATTCATCATTCACTCGGGCACACGATCTTTGCCCGTCAACGTAAGCAAGCACTTTTTTGCGATTATAAAAAGCCCGCAAGCTCCGTTATTCGTTCAAGTCTACATCCTGCACGTACATAAGATGGCCATGCACTCGACGAGATATAAAAAAAGAGCAGCGGCGAGAGAGTGAGCCAGTTAGCTCTCGGTATATTCTTTCAACGATGGAACAGGTAGAGGAAGAGAGGTTGGATAGCGGTACTTAATACCTACTGAGTTAAGCCGACCGATGCCACTGGGGTCGGGAACACACACGCCCACGCGCGCCCACACACACACTTGTATGCGCGTACTGGCAGTGGTGTGTGGTAGCCTCTCGCTAACAATTAATTATTGGCAGCACTTCAGAGGCGCTCTCTCTCTCTCTCTCTCTTTCTCTCTTTGGCCGCAGCCGTAGTTAAACATTACACGAGCCGTATCTTACGCTGCTATCTAATCCCCTCTCTTTTGCCTCTTCTTCGCTGGTGTCGCCGCCAGCAGCGCCAGTAATCTCGTTTAATTGCTAGCTGTAGACGCGCGCGAGCGGGAGAGTCCCGTTCAATTAGTTTTTCAAATAAACATTAGTTTCCTTAACACGGCTACGAGGCGCCGCCGCGCGCCATAACGTGGAGAGGGAGAGAGAGAGAGGGAACGAGGAGAAAGGAGGTCGAAAAAATCGGGGTGGTAAGTAATTAACGACACATTTATACGATATCGGCGCAGGATATCAGCTGCCGCCGTACGTATGAAGTGCCTTGCTAATAGGAAGCTATGCTCTCGCCGATAGATACGCTACTGCTGCTACTTCTTCCACCCCTTCTTCCCTCTTCGCTCTCTCTCCCTCTCTCCTTTTTTTTTGCCTCGACGTCGTCTCTCTTGATACACGTCGTTGCAGTCGCTCTCGAGAGGAAAAGGGATTACGGGACCACTCTAGCCTCGCAAGCTCGTTTCATGTTAATGCCTATTGTTGCCTTGTAATGAAAACGAGAGACGTTTTCTCACTCTCTCTTTCTATCCTTCGATCTATGTATATGCTCCGATACGCTATGCGTTATACCAACTCGAGAGCCTCCGACGTCGCGACGACTAAATGAGAGGTGAAGCGCGCGTGCACTGTTATTGCCTTTGCTAATTGCTGGATTGTCGCCTTTCGTTTTTTTTCGCTTTTTTTATGTTTGCTTGATACATTTCGATCAGAATCTTGATTTGTGATGGATATTTATGAGGAGCACGGATTTCCTTTTATGTTTTTGTTACTCATTGGAAAACAATCCGACTGTTTAATTCGCCGTTATCTGTTATCCGGATCTATTATGTACAAAGGAATCGGCCATTTTAGTAATGGATAGCTAAACAATTATAAATATACAATTCAGAATTGGATGCGAATTTTATTAAGGACGACACTGAGTCACAAAATCGTGGTGTTATCATAGCGTTAATGCATCGGTCATTTTATTAACAATAACGTTAAACTTAAATTCAAGGTTATTTCAATTTTCTTCAGTTTATCATCAATTTTTACATGAAACATATCCGCAGAAACGAAAGATCCCATTGAAAACTAGTATCATCGTCAATATTTAATTAGCAAATAAATCACCGCGTCCTGGCGTAAAATACATTAAAGCAGCAGCAATTCACACACGCAGCAGCATGAAATTCTAAATTCTCATTACCAGATTCACGCGTGTGCACGCGCGCTTACACGTGCAAAGTCAATAGGTTGTATACGCAATCGCCCATATATATGTGTGTGTGTGTGTGTGTGTGTGTGTACATATATATACACATATATACGAACACACTGTAAAGCTTGGGCAAGCGGCAAGCTCGTGGCTTTGTTTACACAGAGATGACTTTTCGGGAGAGAGCACATTGGAGGCGATAAATCCCAGGGCCGATATAAATTAATTTTAACTCGATGCCTAAAGAGCAGAGCCGGAGCGCGGTGCGTGCGGAAATAAAGATGTTCCCTCGGAATCACATGTCTTTCCCCCACTCTCTCTCTCTTTCTGCAGCCTGTACACGCGCAACCATAACAACACGCAGCCTTTTACGCGCTCGCTGCCGCGAACAAAACGCGCGAGGTTGCGTTATGGGTGATGCGGATTATTCACTAATATGATTTACGGCGAATTACGAGAGAGCGCGCGCGAGACTCACAATGCGCACATAATGTGAGGCATAATTTATTAATTTTACTAATGGCTCCTGCCCATTATTATTGATTTCGAGCTTTCTCTCTCTCTCTCTCTCTCTCTCTCGCACGCATGCGAGCGCCGCAGTCTCGCGCGACACATCTCCCGCACTGCAGGCTGATTTATCCCGCTCGTTATCGGCTCGGGCTTAAATCATCCGTAACGCCAACAACCCTCGCCGTCGCTGTGAGCCCAGCCCAAGCGACGCGATGCCTTTTTTCCGCGTTGACCACTGCGCGCTGATTTTGGAATTCCAATGAAATTTTCCAGCGACATTTGGAGTCATCGGTCGATTAGGGCAATTTGTTGATATCTGTTATTCTTTTTTTAGAAGTCCGTTGCAGACAAGAACGATTTTTTTTTATCGCAATCCAAGGTCGATCGGTCTTATCTCTGATGATCGCCGGATAATTGTATGCCACATAACAAATATTAGCGGATACATTTTACCTTTAATAATTTTACTAGATAATAATCGTATTTTACTCAACTAACTTGATTTAATGATTTCTTTGTTTGATAAACTTTCTCGTAGAACGTCTTTTGAATTTTTCTGCAGCCAAATGCCATAGACCGTTTATAGTAGTAGGTATTCGCTCGAAGTAGGTGTCATCATGCAACAGCTATCGGATTTTCGCAATTTTTTCATTCATTGGATGAAATAATTGTCTGCTTTCGGATTTCTAAAAATCACAGACAAGGATCAACAAGTCGATGTGATGAGAAATTTTAAATTTGAAAGAGCTGTTTCTGAACAAATATTGGATAGACTTTCCTACGACAGAATCCGAGAATAGCTACGGATCGCACAGTTATGAATCTGTTTAGATTATTTTTCTCAAGATGAATCATGAATGTGCAATTTTTTAGGACATGGATGAATTTACATTTTGATTGAGAATGTGCATTGTCATGTCTACAGTTTACGATGTTATTTTGCTTCGCTTGTAAGTGAGATTTATGGTTAATCCTAAATATAAACTTGAATAATTCTGTACATGTATTCATTTAAAAATAATGGCTTATAGATGATGACTGCTTCTCACTATTTTGTTGATATTTGCATATATTTGGAAAATAAAATACCTACGAGTACAGTCGTAACTGCCGTACTTTAGGTGCCAATTAACACTTGCATTAATTGCGAACCCTTTGAATTTAGCTATGTGATTTAGCTATGTGATGAATATGTAGAACTTATAATTAGGATTTGATAGTTTGGTAACAAATCGGTAAACATATACCAATTCTTACGAATGCATAAACAATAAGATCTTAAGCAAAAACCTTACTGGAAAACAATCTTTTAGTTAATCAGAAATGTTATTCCAAGATACCACTTTTTTAATTATCGATATCATTGTAATTTCATTAAATATGTAAATATATCGACTTTTGATACAGTAACTGGATGAGATAACAGATAAACTGATATAAATACGTTCAGTGCTCGTAATTGCAAATCATTTTACAAGACTTAAGTTAGCCTATACATATCCTCTTTTTTATACAATCATAGAGAAATATACTATAGAGTTATTTATCAAAATTTTGTACGGATTATTTTAATAAATAATGAAGTGTTTCATAAATAAAAAAAATAATATCATCATGGTTTTTCAATACTTGATTTTTATAATAATTTTAAGTGGAGTATCTGTAAGCAACAGCTATCGCATTCTCGCAATTTTTCCTTTTCCTGGACGCAGTCATTTTCATGTGCTAGCGCCAGTTGCTCAATCTCTTGCTCAACAAGGTCATCAAGTTGATGTGATAAGCCACTTTAAATTAAAAGAACAATTTCCAAACTATACGGAGTTAGAATTTCCGATAGTTCAGTCGCATGCTCGTCTGAAATTCGACACAGCAATTTCTTTAAATGATGAACAAAATTGGCTAAAGGAATATGAAACACGGATATGTGATATGCTAGGTCATCCAACGATTACCGAGCTGATGAAAAACCCACCGACAAATCCACCTTATGATGCGCTCATCATCCATGTAAGTGATATTTCTTTTAGAATGATGTGAACTTGCCAATTTGATCTTATTCATAATAAATAAAACAGGTGGCCATGGGCATTCAGTGTCTTACTGCTATCGGTCTTATGTTGAATATTCCAGTAATCGGAATTGCGACTACTATAGTATATGCATCAGTCCAACAACTTATGGGAAATCCTTTGAGTTTAGCTATAGCGTCTGGTCATACAAATTATTATAAGAAAAATTACACATTATGGGAAAGAGTTATGAATGTTGTAGAAACACACAGTGAATTACAAACGGAAAGATTTTACTATGGCAGCCAACAATATTATTTGAAAAAATACTTAGGATTTGATAAGACACGTATTTCAGAAGTAGATAAAAGCATTGCTCTTTTATTAACCAACTCTCACTATTCTTTTCATGGCATAAAACCAAAAACTCCAGCTATTATTGAAATTGGTGGTATAAATATAAAAAATGATTCTTCAGAACTTAATTTGGTAAATAAATACGTTTAGTTGAAACTTACCGATTTTATAATTTACATTTCATGTTTTGCAGAGTTTGAGGAAAATTCTTGACGAGAGTACCAGCGGTTTCATTTACGTTTCATTTGGTACTTTGACACTAGTAGAAACCTTGCCGATGAAATTTTTAAATCAATTATTTACTACATTTTGTAAAATAACACCTATCAGAGTTATCATGAAGCTCTCAAGTATAGACTTTCTCCGAAAAAATCTATGCGATAACGTATTCGTATACGACTGGCTACCTCAACAAAAATTACTAGGTGTGTGTAACTTAACTTATTAATTTTTATATTTTTGAAGGTTTAAAAATATTATATCTTATTTGGTTTTATATTCCAGAACATTCAAATATCAAAGCCTTCGTAACTCATGGAGGTGGATTGAGTTCGCAAGAGACCATACACTATGCAGTACCTGTCATATGTATCCCGATCTTCGCTGATCAAAATTTTAATTGTGATATCTTTGTTTCAAAAAATATGGGTGTCAAAATTGACATTAAGACTGCGCAGTCGAAAGATTATGACGATGCTTTTCAAGAAATTTTATCAAATTCACAATACAAGTAAGTATTAGTCTTGATTGGTATTTTCCAAAGGCACGGTAATAAAGAATTTATATTTATACTTTCGTATTTTAGAAATTCAATGAAGAAGTTTTCACATTTGTATTGGGATCGACCTCAATCACCTCGGGAAGCTGTAAATTATTGGGTTGAATATGTTATTCGTCATGGTAAAAATGTTTTGAGATCACCTGCTTTGGATCTCGAATGGTGGCAATTCGAGTTGATCGATGTTTATTGTCTTCTATTTTTATGCACTCTACTTGTCGCTTTCTTCTTGATTTTAATTATTGGATATACGTTCAAATTACTTATACAGTTACTTAGTTCATCGAATAAAATAACGTCGAGTAAAAAGGTTGATTAAACTAAAACGAATTATTGTACATATTTTATAATTAATAATAATTTATAATTCGACTCTGATTATAATTAAATATATAATATTAAGCTATAATAGTAAAATAAATAATCAAAAATAACGTCAAATAAACAGGAGTCCGCTGATACTCTTTGTCTGACTATATTTTATCTGTACTACTTTTTTAAAAAGACATTTCCCATGCACTTATTTAACTAAATGCAATGACTCCAATAAAGTAAATATTTTCGTTAGTATTATCACTTCGTTGCAAAGTCCACGTTTAATTTTCAATTTTGATCATCGACACAAGTCGCAATATTTATCACTCCGCGTTTGCACTCGAGAAAAGAAGCAAAGAAGTGAAATTGAAGGAGCAGAGAAAAGCTATAAGTGCAAGGTGGACCCTCAATATGTGCAAGTCCGTTTGTCTTGTGTGTGACCGCGCGCGCGCTTTCCTACTCTGCCACTGGCGTGTGTTCTTTTCTCTTTGTCACGGAGCAAAAGAAAGAGAAGGAGACACAGCAATCGTAGGCTTCGTCGCGTTATTGTCCAGCCGACCGTCTCTCGGCGCAATAACATTTTTATTAAATAATAAACATGTATATACGCGCGCGCGCGCACGCGGTATCGGCGCTACTCTCTCTCTCTCTCTCTCTCTCTCTCTCTCTCTCTGTCTGCCAGTGTCTGCGCGTATGTGAGAGCACGTGCGCCACTCGAGCTTTTGCTTGGGGTTTGTCTGCGGCTGCAGCGATTTGTACTCTCGTTATTGCTTTTGCCCAAGTGCGCTCGGTCACTCCAGATCGCTTTGATATCTTCTTTTTCGACAAGCTCGAGGCGGATATCTGTACGTGTTCGCGCGACAGTCGACACTTTAGACCATTAAAATCGTGCGATATTGCTCAGTCTCATACTAATTGTGATTCTTCGCTGGAGCAGGTGTCAAGTCGCAACGTGATTTTTCGGAGTTATAGCGGGGAAAAAAATCATATTTATGCATCTTTGACATCGGAATCGTTGTGCCGTAAAAGCAATCAAGATGAATCAAGCAAAAACGAAAATTCCCATTTTCGTAAGTCGTCAAACATGTCACCTTGGGGGGTGCACAAGGCAGCGAGCCACTCCGCGTCACGGCGCAAACCGAAGACGTCGACCACCGCGTACAAAGGTTTGACTCCAGGATTAAACGCGGAGAGGTAGGCAGCGTGAACTCGATGAAGCAGCTTTGACGATTCTGTTTGAAGCGCCGTACCTCAGCTCAGCGGCGCTCAGTTAAACGGCGCCGCACCTTCGCACCTCGAGAGCGGCTTCCTCTGTGCTGTCGCCTCCGTTCTCGTAGCACAGAGGAAGGGATTAGACCTCTCTCTCTCGTTCGTTCTCCTCTCTCTTCTTCTCTCTCTTGGCTTTCGCTTCTCAACGTTCCGTTAACCGCGTGTAAGCCAACGTTGAAACCGGCCATTATTAGCCTGTGCTGTAGGTATGCCAACCTTTTTGGCTGCTACTATGCTGTGGTGAGGCGAATAATTATAAACTATCGCTTGAGTAATGAGGCAATGTCTTTAGATCCGTCGAACACCGTGTAGGTGAATTAGCCTTATGATCAATTAACTGCTCATGGGGCTGGATATATAGATATGGTTCTTGCTTGCTGACAGCCAATTTCTATTTTAATCAATTTAGCATTCTAATTCTATGACAAAAATTAATTTGGTGAAAACAAATCTGTTATAAAATAAGCAATTATGTGAATTAAAAGAAAATGTTATGTGTGTAAAAAAGTTTACTCATGAATGCAATAAGATTTAAAAAGTTCTATTCATTGTATGTATATTCGTTCGGTTATGCCTATTAGTGATCACCGCAAGAAACGTCGAACAGGTAAAAATTTTATTTAAAAAATCTAAAAACTTAATAAAATAAAAGTGCATGAAACAAAAGCGAGGGGTAAATTACAAAGATAAAGTTATGTCAGAGTCATCAAAAATGTCTTTGAAGCTCGCGAAATTTGCCTCGAAGTGCACACATAGACACACACAGCCACCTGTAGCAAAGGCAAGCGCAACTACAAAGGTATTGCCATCAGCGAGCTGTCAACGAGCTCTTTCTTCGGTGCGTTGATGCTGTACATAGGTATCCGCAGTCAGTCAGTCTCTCACCCTTTCGCGTATACCCCCGCACACACAAGACTGATAATTAGTTATAACAAAGCAAGCGATGCGTGGTTTGATGTCGAAATACCGGGGCCGCGATTGATCGGTTAATTTAAAGGGACGCCGGCTCTCACTCTCACGCTGCAGGGGCTTTCGATATGCTAAAAGACGCCAGCGAGAGCAAAGCAAACCATCACGCTCGCGTATGCCAGTCGCTTGTGTGTTGCCTTTCGCTCGTCTCGACATTCCGACAGCTCTTTCATCTACGGATGATTACGGACCTTGCGGCTCTCTCTCGTACACACACACACACACACACATACACACACTCTCTCTCTCTCTCTCTCTCTCTCTCTCTCTCTCGTAAGCTTGATGTACATGTTGTACTCTCGCTCTCTCGCATACTATGGCAGAGAGAGCTTGTGCGATTAAAATTACCACGCTCCAAATTGAGCTTATGCTGTTTAGAAAATAATTAGTTTAGCTTCGCCCTATCATATCGTGTGTAACGGCACTTGTTATACTTTTACATTCTGGTTGTGCTATTGATTTTTGATGGAGTTATCAGTGAGAACGCTAGCTTCTAATGAATTATAATATTTTCGAAACAAGATGTCACTCGAGTAGATCTAAAATTCAAATTTACGGCTTTGTCGGAAAACTACACTGGTAAAATCTTTTTTCGTCGCGACAGCGTTGACACTTACAGTGACATAGAGCTTAAAAAGCCTCGAGAAAAGTGTCGACAGAGAAGAGAGAGAGAGAGAGAGAGAGGCGTGATGTATGTACGTCCCAACCACTTACCAACACTAAGATTTGTGTGCTTCGTAAATGTTGTCTTATCTGTCACAAGCTGTTGTGTCAGCAAACATAAATTTGTGTAGTTCGAGTTGAATTCAGTACGAGGTACTTACAAGTATGATAAAAAGAAAATTCTATAGCATTAAAAGACAAAGAAAAAAGAGTAGAGCTGTGTTTGCATTGACAGGACAAACTTCACCTCGGCGTGAACACATCTGAGCGAGCCTCGCAACTGGAAATCCATTTGAGAGAATTGAAAGGTGTCTGGAGCAGGCTCAATTTACGATCTCGACAACTCTTCGTCGCAGTGGCCAGGGTGCTGCTGGGAAGCTCTTACATAAAAATCAGCAAACTCCGCGGGTCTGTCCACAAATCATCGCCAACTGTCAGAGTGGCTGCCTGGAAACGAATGGTTCTCTAAGTCACCGCGCGAAGACGACCAATCTACATCATTCTGTCGGGGCAATGGATCGAATATTTTTACTAGCCTCTATCTCTTTGTCTCTCCCTAATTTTCTTGTTTTTTCGTAGACTGCCAAACATTACCCCGTCGCGTCAAAGGCCCGACGTTGTACACCATGCTGCTGCAAACTTTCGGCAGATTCTCGCGTCATTTGAAATTCCAAAAGTTTTCTGCCCCTTGATAGTCTCTCTATCGTGTGTTATCGACGTTGAACTGTGGCGTTATTTTTAGCTTGCTTGTGTTTTTTTCGAGGCCTTTGATCTACGCGTTGATCGGGATTCCTTTTCACGATGCGTGAGATAGTTAGCATGAACAAACCATTGCAAGTCGTAATTTTTGCGCTTTTTTCAGCACGTAAATCGCGTAAAATGACTAGACGACGCAGCCAGAAGAAAGGTAGCTTTAATAACTCAGGATATCAGCTAATTGCCGAGCTATCAATTAAATCTCTAGAAAATCCAGCGAGTTAAGCGAGTAAGAGCGAGACGGAGAGAGGGTTGTTTATGGCGCGGCGCGTCGTCGTCGACTCTCCTCCTCTACCTCCTCCTCCTCTTCTCGCTCAGTCGCGAATGCGCGCAAGAATGATCCCGATTCTCGGGGGCTAGGCAATTTAGTCAACTTACGATCGCGCTAGTTGCTACTTCGAAATTTTGTCGGAAGTTTACGAGGGATTAAGCCAACTTGAGCTACGAATCAGCTTAGTCGCCGTCACGCAGACACTAGCTCGCTCTCTTTGCCAGAAAGGGAAAAGACGTAGTCAGTGTGAGAAAACGAAAGGGAGGCCAGAAAAAAGAATAAGCGCTAGATTTACGTGCTTTCAAACTGTAATTAAATAAAACACAGGATCTCGGTTTATCTCTATGGGCTTCAGAAGGTGTGGTCTAATGGATTGTTCAATTTGCAAATGATGAGATTGCCTCATTGATTTACATTAAGTTAATAATTTCAAGATTCTTCTTCATTTATTTTCAACTATTTTGAGTTTAAACAATATTTATTTACGAACACAAATCACAGGTTTCATATAGTAGAACTGCCCAACCTTCAGAAGAGCTATTAATTAGCTCTAGGAGGGTATTATATATATATATATATATATATATATATATATATATAAAGAAGTCATATATATATATATATATATATATATATATAAAAGACTTCTTTACATAATTACTTAATCTATTGTAAATACTCTTTTCGAATAATTTTGCTATATTAAAGATGAAAAAGTTTGCTTTATAATGTTTGACCTTCGATGTATCTTTAGCTTTATAAATGGAAATTATTTCTACTATTTTTTCAATGCATCAGGTCAGATTCCTTGGTCTTTACAATTGTTTAATAAAAATGCTGAATGATTAGCAATTCCATTAACCTATGTGCAATGACTGACATTCATTGTACTTCATCCAAAACTAGGTATTTTGTCAATCTATCAACCATCCATTAACCAAAATTACCATTTTCGTGGTATTACAGCTGTACCGATATGATTAAATCTGAGACGATTGAAAAAACAAATCAGTTGCAAGGCAAAAAGGCAAACGGATAAACTCACTCAGTTGGCTGAAGACGGAAGTTTCCTTCTC